ACTACCCATGAACCTCCAAGTACGCTGGGTTCTTGTTAAGGAGTTTAGTTTAAGTTACCGTAACAGGGATCTATAGTCAACAATATGGCTTCTTTATTATGGTAACTTATGTTGAGTCCCGGAACAGGAAAACCCAGTGCAAAGCCCGCATCTCCAGGCTCCAAACCTTAAATCTCTGAAATGCTCAAAACAGGCTGAAATCATCAAAACGCCCTGATGCTGCAGAACCCGACAGAGTGAATTTTGCCGGGAGAGTTTTTCTGAACTCCGAAGCCTGGAAGCCGAAACTCTAAAGCCCTGACCCACGAGTACAAGCTCTGCTTCGGCCCTACATAAGAGCTAAAAAGCTCTCGATTTCTTACTTGGGTGGGGGGGGAGCGACTCCAAGGCCGTGGGAGGTGAAGGCCGCGCAGTCCGACGTGCCCACCGCGAAGCAGGCGGAGCGGGTACGACGACTCGTTCTTTGAAGTCCGACTGTTGCCGTGCTGTTTTCAATTCAAGCATGGCTACGAGATGATGGTCAGAGTGATGATGTCCATGTCGACGATGGTCATGTTGGTGATGGCGACGGTATGACGACGACGATGACACTCCCGACTACGGTGAGGCGAATATGGCGCTGGGGAGGGTGGGTGGTCCTGAGACGATGATGATGCTCATCATCACCATCACCATCATCATCATCATCATCATTTCTCCGTAAGAGGCCCTGACAAAAGACGCGGACACAATGGTCAGCGAGTTGCTCCACAAGGCACAAGCCAGGGCTCTCGGGGTCTGGGCACCGGAATTGAGGACAACTTTCGAGTGAACACATGCGCTGGATAGCCGTTCACCCGACTCGAGTAGAAGTTCGCCAATGTGTTGAATGACGGGATTTACAACCTCGGTTGGTGCTCAGGAACGGTCGGCTCAGGCAGATAACTAGATGCAGGCACTTCGGACATCGGCGTGCAGTGGTAGCTTAGAAAGTCAAGTCCTAAAACTGCTGCAGTGGCAGCAGCGGCACACCACAACGTCAAGACGTGAACGCAGCAGGGCACATTGAGTGTTCGAATTGAATTCAACGCGCGTGCCTTGAATAGGACACACTCCCAAACCCCCACTTGCCCGCCTCAAAGGCCGCCTATTGCAACAACACGCTGGGCCTCAGTCCCTTTGCCAGTGAGCGGCCGCTTGGCTTGCGGCAAGGGTTTTCCGTGAAGCCTATGCCCCGCACCTGAGATAACCGCTTCAAAGCGCGGTTGGCCATAAAGCATCAATCATCATGTTACATGGATATGTCTGCAGAATGGGAAGCATCGGATTACGCGGTTAGCGGCGTTTGAGCGCATGTTTGCTGGCAACCTTCATCCCAACTCGCAAAGAAGAGGTTGAAGGACGCGTAACAGTTGATTGCGAGTCGACAGCTGGAGGTCCATGGGCTACTTCACACCGGAAACAATCCGCACCTACATGCTGGACCATTTCGCTCCCGTTGCCCGGCAGAAGGGTTTGAATGCATGCGGGGCAGGAGGACTTTGCTTGTCGGGTGTGCCGCCTCAGATGAGGTCTGACATGCTTCAAGGCTTCCAGGGCTTCCAGTTCGGGATTTCTGGGCAAAGCACTAGCTGCTAGAGCTGGCGAAGCCCTTCTTTGACTGCTACTGAAGGCGTCCGGCACGAAAAGTGTGGCCATGAGGAAGATGAGTATGATGGCGAAGAAGACGAGGCAGATGATGACGAAGTAGATAACGGTCACGATGCTGGCGATGATGCACAGACGACTCTGTAGAGATGCCTTAGCCGACACAGAAGAGGGTCGGGAGGTACCTTCTCAGGTCATAACTGTTGAGGGACTACTGGTCGAGTTCCCCAAAGAATGAAGGGTACATGTTCTCCCTAAAGCCCAAGCCATAAACCGCTCAAGAACCCCATTTTCGAGCACCTTGGACCCTGAACCTAAACCCTAAACCCCAAACCCTAAACCCTAAACCCTGCAACCCGAAACTCTCAATTCCTCAATCCTCGCAGCTTCGAGGAGCGAATGGTTTTCGTTGGTGTCAACGTTGACCACGCCGAACTCTCCAAGTGGGTCATGCGTGCCAGGGCTGAACCGGCAATGTTCGGGATCATAGTAGCAATAGTATCCCCCTCAGAGTTCCCTCCATATATATATATATATATATATATTATATATATATATCATTAGTAGCAACAGTATCCCCTTCCTAGTTCCCTATATCGTTACACGTAAATCTTCAAGAGCCTACTCTGCTTGTTGAGCCCCCCGAAGCTTAGCCGCAGTCTTGGCAGCCATGTCTTTGAGGCCTGGCGCAGTTGTTGGGAGCTTCAGGAAAATCAGGAGGTGTCGAGTTGAAGTATGCAAAATCTGAGGTCTACACACCCCCCCCCGCATGGAGTCTCTCTCGCTTTTTTCAGGTGCCTTCGCGGACTACAACGCCATTCCTCTGAAGAAGCGCGAGGACAAGAAGGCACGAGCTGTTGTGCTGTTGTCTCCGGTTCAAACTCTGCTTGCTGTGTGCGCTGCAGCAGTTCTTCTGTAGGCTTCTTGGTTTTCAATTTTCAAGAGCTTCGGGGTCAAACTTTATTGCGAATGGTTTCTGCCAGGGCTCTTGTCGCTCGCATTGCTTGTCTCCGCGAGCTTCAGTGCAGTAGAATGAGGAATCCTCTTCCTGGAAGGGTTTGTATGCAGGAATAGGAGCGACACGCCGAATGTCAACCTTACAGCGAAACTGCATGCAACCGGCTCGTAAAGCACGGGTCGCAGACGCCTAAACAAACGTGGCCGACGGCGGGATTCATTGCCTGTGGCACACGTTCGCCGGGAGTCCGTTCTGCGTGCCAAATCATGTTCCGGAGGCTTTTTCACCCTGGCAGCAAACAGTCGAGTGAAGCCCGGAAGCGTGGACTACGGGTTGAAGTGTGAGCAGGGTCTGTTAAAACCGCTAAACCCTAAGCCCTAAACCTCTAAACCCCCAAACCCCCAAACCTCCAAGCCCCCAAACCCCCTAAACCCTCAAACCCCCAAACCCCAGAACCCCTAAACCCTAAACCCTAAACCCTTTTCGATTCTGTAAGAAACCCTGTGGGAGGCGCAGTACACGGGTGGCGACATGCGCCTGGAGGGAGCCTCCCCCTACTGCCACCTGGCGCTCGGGCAGAGGCCTCAGCACTCGGCTTGAGGCTCATGGCCGCAAGACTGGGTAGTAATGGTGATAATAAGAGTAATAGTACCAGTAGTAGTATTAATCCTAAAATTCGTAAAATATGAAAAGTATTACTAGTACTATCCATAAGAATAGTAATTCGTGGCCTGGAGCCAGTCTAGGACTGAGGGCGGCAGGTCTAGAAACATCAGGGGTCGCAGCATCTTCTTTGGGCAGGTTGCTCGGAGGTTCATGGGTCGTTATAAGTAGGCTTATAAGTAGGGTAACTATAATTATAACCCATATTAGGGGACTTATGTACCCCCACTTCTAACTACCCCAAACAAACTTCCAAGTGCTCGGAGCCTGGGACATCCATGAGAAGCGACTCTTGCCATCATCGCCTTGTCGTCTGGTCGTAGACTGAGCCTACATGACATGTCCAAGTGTCGGCCCCCCGCATTCATGACCGTCATGCAGCCTAGGGCTGTTCAACAGCAGGGTGTTTTCTTGGGTGTTTCGTTGTACGATGTGTTGCGGTGTCGCTTTGGTAAGCATTTACATGTTTGGTTCCTTGCAACAGTAGCTTTCGGCATCTCGAGGCTCTAATGTGCCGTAACACTCTGCAAACCTATTTGAGGGAATGATTGCAGGTTCGGACCCCCGAATGAGCCCTGCGACTCAGGTTTGAATCCACAGCCTTTGGACAAACCGAGTTGGCCCCTGTTGCCCTAGTCCAGGCCGGGACGGTGAGACGGGAGAGAGAGCCAAAGCAAGACTTAGAGAAATGAAGCGGCCTGAAACATTAGTCACAGTACCCCTTTGTAGTCCCTACATGCTACAAACCCAATTCTAAAGTCCCCTTGACTAAGTCCAACTTGCTCTTGGGGCTGTGCAGGCTTCGGGGGTAAGAGCTTAAGCGGGGCATTGCATTGTTGTAACACTGAGGCCCGTGTGCTGCCTCAGAAGACGATCACCCGTAATATAGAAACCTCAAGACTTACCAATATCATATTCTTTAGGGTTCCTTGTTCTGTTTTTATAGCACAACAAACCCACAAACCCTATTCTGATTATCAAGGCCCTTTCGTTATGTTTTGTTGACCCGAAATAGTTGTGTCGAGTTCAACAGGTCGTTACAGGAGCACCAGGCAATGTTTTGCACATCCTGGAGCCGTGAACATGCCATGCTAGGCCATTCAGGATACGACCAACTTGCAACATTATTGCTTAGGCTCAACTTGCAGCAGCATATCGTTGGTTGCTGTTGCAGCCGCGAGACACATGACTAGGTGCGACTGTGGCTCTTTCTCTGATGACTTCGATTATCGCGGTTGTAAGCACGCCACGGAGATAATAGTGCTGCTGCTTCTGCTGTTGCTGCTGCTTCGGCTGCTGATGTGAAGACGGATGTGCTACTGCTGATGGTGGTGATGGTGACGATGATGATGATGGTGTTGGTGGTGTTGGTGGTGTTGGTGGTGTTGGTGGTGTTGGTGGTGGTGGTGGTGGTGGTGGTGGTGGTGGTGGTGGTGGTGGTTTTGGTGATGGTGCTGGTGATGATGTTGATGATGGTGATGTTGGTGGTGATGGTTGATGACGGTGATGATGGTGTTGATGAAGCTGATGATGATGAGGAGGAGAGCTTCTCTTATGTTGTGCTTATTTTGCCGCTGCTGTTGTGGTGGTGTCGGGGCGCTGGTGCTGGCGCTGGTGCTGGCGCTGGTGCTGGCGCTCATGCTGGCGCTAGCGCTGCTGGTGCTGCTGCTGGTGCTCGTGCTTAACGGCATCCCTCGCCTGAGAGCAACATGCTGGCATTCCGTGGCAAAAGTGCGCCACATCCTAAGAATCGCAGCGCAGGACACTCCTGGTACACATGCGGCCTTGAAGGTAAAGAGCGCAAACTCCTGCAACCTCCTCGACACACGCACCCCCAAGTCCCAAACCGCAGGCCCTGCTGGGCGGAGGCTCCGCAATCTACAGCGGCATCGGCTCCGGGGTCACTTCCCGGCTTTCCACGCAGGTTTCGGCGTGGGGGGATGTTGTCAAGAAGGTTTTTGTGAACATTTCCAAGATAAGACGGATGAAAGGGAACTGGCTCATGGGTGAATGGAAGAGTGTTGCGGTTCACTCATGGAAGAGCACTCCGAACGTAGCTTTGTACTCGTAAGTTTCTGGTTGAATGGACGCACTGAAGCTCATCGCGTCGTGAGCAGGAGCTCAGCATCCGAAAAAAATAGGAGCGTGGAGCAAGGCAGACTCGAGCAGCCAACAGCCAACATTTGACCCAAAATGCGGTTTACCATCATGTCTCGGGCCCGAGCTGGACTTCCTTTGGATGTCTGCATGCCGAAGTTCTAACATGCCGAGTCGGGAGACAGTTTTTGGTCACAAGTCAAGAGGAGCAGTTAGCAGTTCTTGCCAGGTGCTCAGACAGAGCCCCTACGTCGAGTCATGCGCAGCCTTCAACACCTCGTGCCCCTCATGGGAACCGGGGAACTTGGAGCCCAAGGCAAGACGAGCCCAAGGAAGCCTTGGAAAGAGAGAGGACCCCTAAACCCTAAACCCTAGACCCTATACCCTAAACCCAAACCCTAGACCCTAAACCCTAAACCCTA